TGTCAACTAAGTAAGTAGTAGTAACATGTAGACTATATGATGTAAAGTAAACAACTTTAGCGATTTTATTGATTAATTATGGTCGTAAAAGACAAAATGGCATGTATTTTCATACTTATACTATTGCAAAATAACTCGGTATTACAATAAAGGTTACTCGTTTTAAAATATACTTTTTTGTTTTTATTTTATTTTATAATTAAAGTCCTCCATATACACCTTCATCATAACAGTTAGTGTTAAAGATTAGACAAATTAAATCCAAAGTAAATTTGCCATACTTTGACGTTGGTAGAACAATTAAGTCTAAATTTGGGAGAGTAATTATGTAATATAATAAATATTTAAACAAAGAAATTACTTAGATAACCAAATTATAATAAGGGACACATTTAGTTGCAATATTTGCTCTTAACACGAGTATGGATTGTAAAACAGAAAATAAATAAAAAAAATTAAAACCCAGTATTTGCTTTCTCCAACTTAAACAATAAGGTACCATGTTATAATTTGTTTAAGGACCCAAATAAATATTGTTCTAAGCAAACACAGTTTTATTGCTCACTATTAATGTAATTTTTTGAAAGATTAGGAGCTCGTGTTATTTGCGTCTAAGAAAATTTCCAAAAACAAAGATAAGTACAAGGAAAGCAAACAATACTTTGACAATATTTAAAACAAAAAAATATTAATAAAAAATGTTTTTATTCAATGTTGCTTACAAACATTATATCCCTAGATACTATTTAAGCAGGCACTTAGAATTTTGTTTGTTTTATTTATTCGGAATTTGACACATTTGATTACGTTGGTTTATCAGTATTTCAATATTCTTTGATATTTTTAATATTTAAAATTGGTACTCCTGCTCAATGCCTTAATTTTACTTAAACATTTATTATTTAATTGTTAAAACTAAAATAAACAATTCCAAAAATATCAGAAAATTCTAAACGAAAAAAAAACAGCATTTTAATGAAATAATTAATTTGTGATCCATAAATCCACAAAATTATTTTGTTTTAATCAATGTATCCAATTAAATATAAATTTAGGGTTCCCAAAAAAATACGAAGAGAACTGTTTTGGGAACACCCAATTTGGGGTGACCCAAAAAGTCCCCTAACGCTAATTTCTTCTTATTTTCTGAAAACTTAAAACTTAACTTTTTTATCTTAAGAAATAAATAATTTATGATGTTTATTTAATTGAAATTAACTATTTACATGCTTATTATACCATAAACAATAGTAATATTTATTTATAATCACAACTACACAAGTAAGGATTACTGGTGATTATTTTAGATTAACACTAAAATTCATAATGAATAATAATTTGTGAAATACTGCTTTAGAATTAATTAAACATTAATAAATCAATATTATTTGCTACGTTTATTTCGTAAAATAAGTGTTAAATTATTTACATGAAGTTAACTTATTAATTAATATCATTAGTTAAATTTTGCCCAAAATTTAAAATTTAGGTGGTAAAAATAGTTACGTTTTTTTACTTTTACCTTTAAAACACCCATTTCGAACATGTTTAAATGACACAGTTCCACTTAGTGTTATTGATTTAAACACGTTTACCGCACATTGACAATCTGGCGTTTTAGTCACGGGCTGAAGTCAGTTTAAGTATAAAATGGGAAAAAGTGAGGTTAAATCCGTCTGGCAGTTGTCAGATATCAAGTTTAGCAAATAAAATTGGCTTTTTTTATTTTCGTCGAATTTTATCTATAGTATGCACTTCGTTCATAAACTTTTCTAGAAACTCATTTTTATAAAACAATCGATCGTGCATTTAAAACTCGTGACTGAAAATGGGTTTATAAAACTTTATACATCGAATAAGTAATATTAGAATATAATACAACTGGACAAAAAGCAGTTTTTAGATGAAAGTTTTTGTAAAAATTTTCAACAAACGATTACTTAGTAAAACATTATTTTTGGCTGCTAAAACCAAGCAAATATTTAGTGTATACTCCTCCCACACTAATTGGTGTTAACCAGGCCTGTCAGAGTTTTCTTAAATGTCGCACACATGCTGGAAGACACATCGGATACCTTTTCGTCTGTGACAGCTTTATGTGCATGATTTATGACAAAGACACAAATAACTGGCTGATAACCACAATTTTCGACATGTTTTACATTTTTGACTTTCATCCCGACTAATTTAAGGCGTGTTTATTAGTAACCGGCTACCGATTTATTTATTGTGCACATTCTGAAAATTGCTTTATTATGTTTAAAGGGATTATACTAATTTGGCAACAATAAAAATTAAAGTCTTTCTGAAATTATTTTCTTGCAAAAACAGTATTGTTTTGATCCATTCTAAATTGCAAAATAATTTATTTTTATTGAAACGATGCGTTACCGAAATGATGATATCAATATATTATTTTTTTATTGTGCAGTCAAAAATATATTATTAGAGGTTTATTTTTTTATTTAGAGAGTTTTCAAAATGTTGTGACCCACAAAGTTTTTTATATTCATTTGAAACGTGACTAAAAGGCATTTGGTAAAAATAAAAATAGACAATATCTACTAAAAATAAAGTTTTATGGAAATGTTAACGTAAAAAAGTGTTTATTTTATTTCTATCACAATACGTTTAAAATCAAATTGATTTTGCGTAAATAATGTGTATATATTCTTAATAAACAATTTGTATTACTCATGGTAACTATAAGTTATGTAAAGGTTATTTAAAGGTCAAAGTATAACCACAATCCACAATTGATTGTGGGTATAACAAGGTTTTATAAAATCGCCATTTAGTTTATGACTTTTGGTCATATGAGATAACTGTAACCTTAAGGTATATAATTAGGTTATACAATTCTTTTTACAAAATTTTATATAACCTATTAATTATAATAATAAAACTATTATTAGTTAACCGTTACAGTAGGTTTATATTAGTTTATAAAAAAGTTTTATTCAGCTTGCGGTTACCAGTTTTATAAAACTATTGTGTCTTTAAGTCTTAAAATTAAATAAAACAAAAATGTTAAGGAATTAAAAAAATAGTGTTTCGTCGAAACACTTTTTGCTTATTTATTAACATAACAGCAGATCTACAGAAAAAATGCCGAACTTGGCAACACTAGTTTTGATTAGTTAGATGGTTGCCTATCAAAAGCTTTATAATATCACTTGAAGACTTTAAGTTGAAGTAACGAAAGTACAATTTAAATAAGAGTTTCAATATTTTATAATAACCAATATACTACCATAAAAGTTAACTAATCCCATAGGTTTTATACAGTGCTGGATTAACCAATAGGCCAACCTAGGCCATGGCCTAGGGCGCCGCGAAGCCAATAGGCGCCCAGGCAGAAGGCTCATTTTTTTTTAAGTAGGTTGAATATTAAAATTAATCGATTAAACTTGGAGGCCTTTCTGCAGAAGATAAATAACCCACAAAATAAAAAAAAATCGGTATATATGGGTTATCTCGATTTTTTGTTATTTCTGTGGGTTGGTTCCCTTGTGCAGAAAGGCGTCCAGGTGACGAAATGTTATAGGCAAAGTTCTGTTTTAGGTTATTTAAAAATTGTAAAAATCAAGTTAGTTCTTCATTGTTTTGTTTTTCTATATAAAAATAAATTAATTTTTTATTAATTTTATTTTAATTTTTTATATAAGCATTACTTGTCCCCCCGTATTAATAGCATATACGAATATAAATTCTGTAAAATGTTAACAAAGGCCTATAGTGAGTCTGCTATAAGTAAAACAAGATTTTACAAGTGGTATAAGAGTTTCCAAGATGGCCGTGAAGACGTTGAAGATGACGAACGCCCCGAATGCCCAAGCACATTAACAACCGATCAAAAAATGAAAAAAGTGGAAGAAATGGTTATAAACCATCAGAGAAGTCGCTGATAATGTTGGTAAATTGTTAAGTTTTGAACAAAATTTTTGTCCAAAAACAATACTGTAATGATGCCCCAGCCTCCATATTCGCCAGACATGCCTCTGTCTGACTTTTTCCTATTCCCAAAAATAAAGAGAACCTTAAGGGACCGTCGTTTTGCAAGCATAGATGACATTAAAAGCGCATCGCTGAAAGAACTAAAGGCTATCCGAGTTTTAGAAGTGTTTCGAGTATTGGAAGAAGAGCTGGCACATGTGCATAATATCCAATGGGGACTATTTTGAAGGCGACATCATTAATATAGACGAATAAATAAATATTTTTTTCAAAAAACGAAAATTTCCGATATTTTCTGAACACACCTCGTATGGTACCTATACTCTCTAAAAATGAATTATTCAAAAATGACTAGTTTATAAGTGGCTGCTTTTTAACTTGTACCATGGTTAACCATAGGTATCCCAATTCATAAGTCAAATTGTCCCCTAAATCCAAAAATTCTGTCAAAAATTATGAAAGTCGAGCAGTTTTTGAGATATAGTCAACTCCATATTAAACGGAAAATTGACTATATCTCAAAAACTGTTTTTAACTTTTGACGACATTTTCAGATTCAGGGTACAATTTTACATCAGAATTGGCTGTTAAATATGGTCTGTATTTATAGGCGCCATTTTTGTTGGCCTAGGGCAACAAATTGTCTTAATCCGGCCCTGGTTTTATAAAATCACTATAAGCAATATTCTGCGATAATTGATCCAAATCCAATAAAACCATATTATATAACTTAAGGTTTCTTAGAAGATATATAGTGGTTTCAAAATATTTATGTTACTTTTAGATATAAAACATAGGTTTTATAGTGTTACTAAACACAGGTAACCAAAACCTTTATAGAGACCTCAAATAAGTGGTGTATATAAGATGTATATATAAAAATGTTTATTATATATTTATTTTTATATAATATTAAAATTATTTTTTTTAAAAGTAGATACGTTTTGTTTTAAAATTGTTATGGCAAATTGGATTCGCCATGGTTACTTTAAAACGACGTTAAAAAGTACGAACGTCGAGCAACTTGTTATTTTTATTTGCAGTTTGGGCGGAGACCGGAGATTTCCGTGATGCACACTCCGGAATGTCCGGATCCACTACCATGGAACACCCTCAATTGCCTTTTCCAACAGCAGCTAGATCGAGAACCAGAGATCGCAAAGGTAAACAGATTTATGTCAAAGATTTTGCTACTTTTACTAATTTTTACTACTTTTATTAATTTAATGTAGAAACTAAAATTATCAGTTACAAAATAAAAAACAAATTATTAATATAATATTACCTACTAAATACCTAACTACCTAACTAATAAAACTAATAAACGTACAAAATTCCTAACAAGTTCAATAAACAAAAATATATAATTATTTTGGCTTTTTTGTGCAAAACTTTTGGACATAATTTATTCGACCACAAAGCCATGAGATAAACAAAGATTATTTTTGAATCTTGGAGATTTTTGAGTGCTTAACTTAAAATTTATCACACGAAATAAAATTTGATGTTTATGCTAAATGTATTAACGATTTAACAATAAAAATCGTTACAAGATTGTTGGATTATTTTGGGATTACGAATGTTTGTTTTTATTAGTATTAGAGGCTTAAGGGTTTTAGTTACTACAGTTAGTGATTATTTATTTGTATTTCCTGTTAATATACACACAGTTTATAAACTACTTATTTACTATTTATAAATGGGTTGCCCCCCTGTAAAATTAAAATATCATACAAAATAGAATTTAAAGCTATAGCTAATTTAAATATTTAAAGATAAAGGGTTTTCCAATAAGACGGATCGATTAAATAACACAATGTTATTTATAAAAAAATTAGTTATTTTTTTTTAAGAAAAATAAACGATTTCCAGCCAAAATTCTTAATTCAATGAAATTTACTGAAATTGTAGCTTTGTACATCTCTTTATTGTACTTTAATTTTATCAAACACAAAAGCAAATTGACAAAATGGCACTAAAATCAACCGCATCTGTCAAAGTTGTTTTGTTGAAAAACATCTGGCATAGTTGCTTAGAAAATTAATCTTTTCATTGGCAAGGCAAAAAACGAATGTAAAGTTACATTTCTGTGTGAAAAGTGACAGGTTTGTGTGAAAAGAAATTGGCAGCATCGTTTGACATTGGTTTCAAAATTTGTATTGTATTTGTATGTCTAAATATCATTTAGAACACAATTATATGTGTTTGTATAATAAATTTTAGTTTTTAGTGTCTTTATTTAAATTGAGAAGGTAAGTTTATTGATTTTAAGTAACTTATACCTTAAAAATTAAAATAATAAGATGAAAGAATTTTAACAGCTGTCATACACGATTTTAGGATATTTTGTTTTGTATTTGAATATAATAAAAAATTAAAGGTTCATAGAAAAAACATTGTGTTTCACTTGTTAGAAAAGCTTTCTTCAAGCTGACGGCCCCGTGAGCAACTTAAACACTCGCATGAAAAAGTCGCTTTTCAACACTTAATAAACAAATAACTATTAATTCATTTTCGGATAAAGCTTTTTCAAATTACCACAGAAACAGATGAATTTGTCTGCCAGTATTATATATTTTTTAAATTTATAATTTTTTTGACTTGTTGTTTCTTATTTCAAAGATTTGGAAATTAATTTAGCTTTTTAAAACTGAAAATCATAAAAAAATTCTGCAAACGAGTATAGATTTAGATCGCATAAATATCGCGTAAATATAAATTTAGACACGCGCGGCTGTTTTGATTGCCATTTTGCCAGTTTTTACACAATAAATAATATACAAAATTTCATAAATTTCGTTAAAATAGGACTAAAATTATTTGTGTTACTGCTAAATTTTGGCTAAAAACCGATTTTATTTGGTGAAAAATATAATTTTAATTATATAATATAATTTATATAATATATAATTAATAGAAAGAACGATTTTTCTACAAGTAATAGAAAAAACGATTTTTCTACAATATTGCAAAAAAAAGAGTTAATTGACCGGTCAATTGACTAAGCACCGGTCAAATTCCTTAGTTTTTTCTAAAGAAATGAAGGCATGAGTAAAATTACTTAATTTCAAATAGAAACGTATATTTATTGAAAAACAACTAACAAAAAATAAAGAAACCATTCTGAGGTACAAAGAAAACATTCATAATATCATTGTTTTTAAGAACATTGACGTCTAGCTCACAGCAGAGCAGCAACAGCAGCCCAGCAGATAAGACCTGAAGATGGTGCATGAGATTATTTTAAGAACCAAAAACCGACAATACAGTTCTAGCTTGTGTAGATAACAGCAGATCATCCTCTTCACTGAACCCACCCTCGCCATTGTCTTTACTCTCTTAAAATTAATTAGTCAAAGATGACCCAGAACACTATTTAAAAAGCATTATTAAGATTGCACCATGGTCCACTACCGAACATTTTTTTAATACTTTTGATATTTTCCGATAGGTAGCGCCGCTGCCGCGCGCGGTTGAATTAAAAGTTTTTGACCGATTTTGACATGGTCAAAATGTCTTTCGTTAAAATAGGTAAGAATCTCGGTCAATTGACCAGGCACAACCCTAGGTATACCTATAACTAAAGTTACGCCACTGAGGGCCGGTTTATCAATCTCTGGTTAAGTTCCAGTTAGTCTATCTGAGTTAAATTCCATATCGATCTTTGCGAGAACAATGGTATCCATGGAAATTATCTAACTGCAACTTTAACTATAGAGATTGATAAACTGGCCCCGAGTGTAAAATTATAGTGAGGTATAGCAATAAGAAAAAAAAAATATTGAAAATAAAAATAAAAATGGCAATATAACTGTTATAAATTATGGTGACGAAAATTGTTAAATAAATTAATTATAATTTAATTAGGCGAAATATATTTTTATTATTTTGTTATCGATCGGAAAGTTATCTGACACAATGAACGCTCCGTTGTTATTAACTCGATTAAAAATTGTTCGTTGTAGATCAGATAAACTAATTCATTGTTCAGTGCGCAAAAGTGAACGAACATTTGTTTGGTCCAATGTAGAATATTTGACAGGTGAAGATGTCGGCAAACGCCAACCGCAAAGCTGTCACGAATAAATGATGGATGTGAGGCGGCGCTTCTTCAAAGTACACTTATCGAAATATGCATATCTATGATCGCATTGAACCTTATCAATAATGGTTACGTATTAAGCAAACACGATTTTTTATTTTGTATTCCATTTAATCATTTCCAATATGGGTATCTACGTGATTCTTTACGCATAAAACAGTATTTCAGTTTCGTTTCAATTGAGTTGCGAAAATTTGAGATGTCCAGTTTTCGATAAAGTCTTCAAATCTTTAGTTGTTATTGTGCTTTTAATATAAACCTATAAAAAAGTCCAGAAGCGTTGGTGGCCAGCTTATATCAGTACAGCGCAAAATTCATCATGTTGAAACCAAAAGCTATTATTGTGGATTTTTTTGCCATTAAAACTAGGTACTTTACTTTATGATTTTTCCAATGATTCATCTTTGTGGAACTAGCAATACTTCTTATGGACACTCATCGGTCTAGTCTCGTAGAATTGGTTGTTAAACTACATTTTGATAAAATGACATCTTATATTAAAAATAATAAGTTGGATAAATTTGGGCGGTGATAAAAATAGATAGTTTTTTTATAAAAAAAAAACATTTATATTAACGATATTCAAATAATTTAAATCAAATTATGAACATACTGTTTACGCATTGTAATTGTTTTTTGTTTGTTATTTTCAAAGGAAATAATACAAATTCAATTTTTCTTCGGGTTTAAACTCGATTCTAACAGGAACATAAGGTAATTAAATTTTTTACCACGATATGCAATTCATAGAATAAAACATAATCCGCCGGTTCGTTACTTAAATAAACCGAAAAATTAAAGGGCTAAGCTTTAAAAATAAAGGGAAAAATATTCGCCGCGGCGTTACGCTGAAGCGGTTCCTGTTTGAGAAGCTGATTAAAAATTCAGCCGGTAAGCCTCGAAAAGTGCCAGGAAACCTGATCGAAAGATTTTGCAATTATTTTTCCTTCTTTTCATTCGACGCGCCAGATACGATGCAGAAGGAAAACTGCACGTATCACTTATTACAACCATTACCACTCGTGCGGTTAAAAGGAAATCCACGGATTTGGATACAATTAAAATATTCACTTTTAGTCCGTTTTTGTATTTTAAATTCATTCTTTGTTAGTATTACTAACTTAGTATAAACTAGCTGTACTTAATTGGATAAGACGAAAGTTGATCGTACCTTTTTTTTAAAGTAACGGGAACCAGTAAAATCAACCTTGTCAGAATAAGTAGTAGTGTCAATCAATTATATTTTTAATCAGTCAAATATGCTTTTATTATGGCGTAGAAATACCAATTTTGCTGAGAAAGTCTGGATCCTACATAAAATAATGACCTTAAGTTAATTTGTAGGTATTTTTTCTGTCTCCAAGATGTAAGATCGATACTAAAGATGATTGAAAGCCTTAAGGAGACATGCATCGTTCCTCTAATTCTTTTTTGGACGAGCAAACACATTTTTACGATAAAAATAAAATAAAAAAGTCATGGTACAAAAAATCTTCAAAATACTTTTCACAAAAATGCATTTTTTAACTTTTAATCTGATTTAGTATACTTTATAGGTGAGATAGAGTGTAATAATATGCTTTTTTCACTCCTAGGATACAATAGCTATTGTATAATTTACATTGTGGGAGATAAAGAAGAAATTAAAAAGTAGGGCTAGATCATTTTACCAATGTTATATTTTATTTAGTATACTGTTGGTGACTATGATGACTACCCGATTGGTTCAAATTACAGTGAATAATAAGATCTGCCAATCACTGATGCCTAAAAACGGTAATAATGAGTTCATTATTCCCGTCGCTAGACAGGGCAATTAAATGGTTATCAGTATATTTATAGGGAAAAGAACAAATAATGTCGAAATTATAGGAGTAGAATATATTCTGTATATTCTGTAACAAGTTTGGAATACGGCATATTCCGCTTGAGTGAAAAGTTTGTCACACGAGCCGAAGGCGAGTTTGACGTTTTTATGAGCGGAATATGCAATTCCAAACGTGACTATACTTTTTCTACGTTTCCGAAAAATACCATAGAAAAATATTTTAATTGAAAAAAAGTGAGGTTGGATCGGTCTAAAATTTGTTAGATATTAAACACAGAGTTGTCGCTAATGATATTTATTCCGTCATCCGATAATGGAATATTTCATTCTGTAACACTTTAAGGAATATATGTCATTCCACATTAAAAAGTGATATTAGAACGGTCATATTCCGTAATAGGAGTACCTACTCCTACTACTTAGAAAAAAATAATTATATATTGTATACAAAATCTATAAATATATTATATAAATAAAATTGCGTTAAAAACGAACAAGAATATTATTTTCTGTTCCATATTCCGTGGTAGGAGTAGATAATAATTCATTCTGTAACACTTTAAAAGAATGTATGTAATTCCACATTAAAAAGTTAGAACGGTCATATTCCGTAACAGGAGTAGAAAAAATAGATTTTTTATTAAAATTTAAATTAAAAAAGTCATGGTAGGTACCTACAAAGATTACATTAGGAGTTAGGAAAAAGGGGTTATTAATAATCTTAAAAAATAAGCAAAAATCAAAAAGTTCCTTTTATTAAAAATTTTGTCTAATTTTATCTAATTAGGACAAAACTTAAATTTTGCTATTATGTCGTAAATATTTAGTAAATACAAGTACAACAAATATTCTTAAAAGTACAGAAATGATCTTGCTTATCTTGCAGCAAGATTCTTGCTAGAGCAACATTTAGGTTTGAGACTTTTTTGAATAGTTTTATTTTCATTAAAAACGTTGCCAACATTTTGTTATAGTTCCATAATGAAAACATATGCTATTAATTCAACCTTTAACCATATCGAAATTCCATACCTTTTCAGTTTTTGTTCCTTTACGAGCAACAATACCGTTATCAAATCCTGCTTATTTCATTTATTAAGTATATATAGGAGTTTTTGGATTTTTTAAGGCAATGTTTTTTATGCATTAAAATGGTTATAATTAGAAATAAAATTAAGAAAGGATATTCTATAGTTTTATAAAATATTTAGGACATTAATTTTGGATAATTTTACGAATTTAAAACAGTTTTATTATTGTTTTAAATTGCTTTAAAGCAATGTTAAACAATATTTATATTCTATATAATGTAATTTATAATAATCCAAAAATCTCAATAGAATAAAAAAATTATTTTGCCGACTAGTGAACTTTTTAAACAAAAGAATAATGCTGCACCTGATCGCTTTCAGCTTCGAACATGTTGTACACGATGGCGAACGCACTGTAATTACACTTTCAGTTCTCAATTAATTTTAGTTTAACGAAACTCGCTTCTAATCCCCAAATGTCAGCCTAATTATTTAAAGCATGTTCCAAAATAGCGCTTCTCTTTAACTATTAAAGAGCAGGATTAAGTTTATTGCGTCTGTAACTTTTTCAATGTTAGTTTTATATGTTGTAGCTGCTGCACGAAGAAGTGAAGTGTAATTAATTTCGAGAGGATTAGTTCCTTTTGGGTTTCTTTTTGATACTGCACATATGATACTTAATAATATTTCACGATAAAGGTTTTGAATAGAAATGTACACACTGTTACAGATAATTATAGGTCTTGATGAATTCAACATTATCATTCATTAGGGGTTTATAGAGAACTTATATATTTTATATGTTTCGTTACTTCTGGTTCAACTGGAAGTGACAGTTGTTTTTCTAAATCCTATAAATATAATTGCATATTTAAATTCCATGTTTAATTCTGAAGCTATTGCATTTTGAATTGCTTCCCAATTTTTAATTGTTTTAGAGATATTTAGCCCAAATAATTAAGGTATTTTTTTACAAAAATTTGACTGATGGAGTGACTAACTAAAATGTCTGTATTACCAACAATAATTGTTGGTAATACAGACATACAATTATTGAAGTGTTGAAAAATAAATTATCAGGAGAATAGTATTCCACAAGATTAGAAAGGGTGTTTGGTATTTCCGTTTACTTGTTTGTCACTTGCCAATAACTTTCTTATTTCAAATGGAACAACTTACCATGAAGTCATGATGATCAGTGCATAATATAAATAACATCAATTTTACTGTCAATGATAAAATCTATCTGATCTGATAACTAACTCCAAGCAGTAATTTGTGCCTGAATTTAGGCACGACACTTTTTGATTACAAATTTTTTCGACACAAATCGAAAAACTTATGTTTAAATTAAAGTTGTGTCCATTATTCAAATTTGTGGTTGCTTTGTGTCGACACCGTTTATACCAATTGTATAGAAAAGTATCGGTTTAAGTAGCATTATTTGCGCCGCTTTTGTGTCCTTTTGGAAACAGACTTAATATTTCCATATTGTACATTACTAATCTGTTTCTGTTTTGTTACCGAATAAAGTAAAAATAAAATAATGTGTGGGGCGGGCGCATTTAGTTTCCGTTTATGTCTAAATTGTGTCATGGTAGTCGATTTGTTAGCTGGTATATCTGGTATATCTGGTATAGTCTGTGGGTATAGTACATGCGTATTAGTAAGGATATTAAATTAAAATAAAAAACTGTGGTCACTTCTTGATACAACCGATACCAGTTTGGTCTCATTTTCCTTACTTAATAGTCCTAAAGTAGTCAACATTGTGTCTTTAAAATGTGTCGTGTCCAAAAACATGTTTTAACGCTGTGTCGACACATTGCCCAAAATGTGACATTCTTTGCTGCTTGGGACCTTAATTCTACTAATAATGACAGATATCCAGTGGTCTTTATAGATACCTAACTTCAATTTTACTGAGAGTGAAATATCTAACGCTAATTCCATTGACAGTGACAGATACCTTACCTCAATTTTACGATTTGTTATTTATGACAGAGAATCGACTAGCGCTTAATGCAAATTGTCAAATTTACATTTTATTTCAATGTCAGCAACATTTGATTAAATTAAAAATCCAGAATTGACCAGAATTATCCAAAACGAATTACTGATTAATATCCTAGAATTAACAAACTCTTTTTCATAATTTTCATATTGACTTAAAATTAGAGATTTTAAACTGAATTTTCTTTTTTTTTCAGCGAGTAGGTCGTTAACGGATCCCATCAAAACTGAATCTGGAGTAGGGGTCGACGCATCCGAAGGTGATGATGGGAAAAACGATAAGAAAACAAAGCGGCAAAGGCGACAAAGGACGCATTTTACTAGTCAACAACTGCAGGAATTAGAAGCCACTTTTGCGAGAAATCGGTATCCTGATATGAGCACCAGGGAAGAAATTGCCATGTGGACGAATTTAACTGAAGCTAGAGTTAGGGTGAGTTTATTTTAACTTTATTAAGAAATTTGCCGTTTTTTTAAGTATTTGTTTTGCGGCTATAAATGAAGTACCGTAAACACGGGTGACATTGCACCCCGCGGGTGACTTTAACCCATTTATGAAAAATCTTTTCGCGCTCGATAAAATTAACATTTATAATTTGTTGGTCTAAACCTGTTAATTGAGCTATTCTATTGAGTTTATATTACAGGAAAATCAGTGTTTTAAAGAAAGAAATGGGATTTATTACACTTTAAAATTGTATATATCGCATCAGTGCAAAACTCTTAGAAATACACGCGTTACAATTTCTATATTATGCGCAATCCTTTGGAATGATGATCCTTGGTAAACTACAGGTCGATTTTTTATTTTTTTATCGGTAATCCCTTGTTATGCTATGTCGCTGCTAGCACGTGTCTAATAAAAATAAAATATAATATTGAATTCATTTTATGCGGAAAATACACTGTGAGACAAAGTAACCCGCAACCAGGGGGTAACTTTGCACACCCAGTTTTTAATTTTTATTTTTGAAACTCAACCATATGTAATATTATAACATAGTTATTATGAAAGAGCAACTCAAGACTCAAATTTTGGTATACAAAATTTCCATGATTGTTAAAACCACAAAAATTTTAAGCTTAAGTTTGAAAGTGAGCTAAAGCCACCCGTGTTTACGGTACCTAAACCCAAACAAATATAAACCGTGGTGTAACAATTAAAAATAGGAAAAACCAAAAAAAAAAGTATTTTAGACAAAAAAAATTATTTGCGACCCATAAAACCACTGGCTACCCATAAAATTAAAATTAAATAGCAAGAATAGCAAATAATAAAACAAGACAAACCTTTTTTATTTATTTTATTAACAAAAAGCTTTTTTTATTATGAATATCTTATTGTTCATTTATATTATAATAAATATAGTGGTCTCTCATGTAACCGCATTTTAAGTGGCCACACCCTTGATTTCGTCACCCTGCTTTATAAATGCTTCCGTTGAAAACAAGTGTTTTCACTAGGTTAATGCCCATTATTTAACAAGTGGTCTTTCGATCTTCACAATTTAAACAAATCTTATTTCAATTTTAAATAAACTTTAAACTTTTTGCCATTATTTTGGGTAAAGAAATTAATCATTTGGTGAAAATGATGTGGTTTCTGGTCAAAAAAACTAACCGAAGGGATTTTTTTAAACACAATAGAGTTTTGCAGAGACCGAATGGTGCTATAATATATAAGGTGAAAGCATTAAAACCAAGCTCTCTCAATTATTTTATTAAACATATTTTAATATAATATGCAATATAGCATATATTCATAAATATAAACCCTCTGAAAATTCTTCAAATCTTTTTGATGAATAATAATTATAATTAGTTCTTCAAAAATGTGTAGGATGCTCAGTGGCGTAGGGAAGGTTCTGATTATGAATGGGTGATTTTCTATAAAATGCCGTCTTTATCGAAGAAATGGCCGACTATTGAATTTTAAAATGTAAAAGAATATATGCGTTAATTAATAATTAATCTAACATATTTCTCTACAATGCAAATTTTTGCATACTTGTTAAATTAAAAATCACAGAGGCATTGAAATTTATTTCAAAAGTAATTTAACGAAAATCTTAAAACTTATTTTGTTGAATATCATTGGCATTAGCTGCAGCTGCAGCCGGCATTATTCGGCAGCTAAAAAAACTTTATAAAATGCCGACTAGTGAGTTCGATTTATTTCAAAATCACCGAAATTTAATTACCATTTATTGAAAAAATTGGAATATATTATAGGAATCTTGGAGAATGCAGATTCTGGAAAAGTTGCAGAATGTGATCCACAGTGTGGATTCCACACACCCCCGTTGCTATAATGTGCGGACAGAGTATTGTATAGATTAATATATTAGATAATCTAAGCTTCGCTAAATATCATTTTCATAATTTGTTAATACTGCATGGTTTTAATTTTAACACCGTATACGGTGTTAAAATTAAAACCATGCAGTATTAACAAATTATGAAAATGATATTTAGCGAAGCTTAGATTATCTAAGTAGCGTTCACACATGGATTCTAATTTAGTTAGACAAACACAATGCCAGTTTATCATGGCATATTAATGAGATATACATTCGGGCAGCTGTGTGCGTGATATAGAGCCCATAATTTAGCGAGGTTGCCAGCCAGGTACAGAGAGAGAGAAAGGCCTGGGCCCGTCACCGTAATCCCCATATGATTAACACCATAAATCTGGCACGGATTAACGCAATCGCCATCGCAGAACGCCATGGATGCACACTTGCTGTGAACTATCGCCTCCAGCGCCTACCGCTACTGTTTGTTATGCATATGTGCAAAGTCCGCCCATGCTCATTAATAGACGACTTGATTTATGATTTTGCTGCCCGCTATGTAACATAGCGATTACGTTTTTTTATTATTCGTTGATACTTTTAATAACCATTTCAACACTTGACAGCTTTTATCGTATTTTGTTTAACCGAAGAGGTGGCTTTTCGTTACGCTGTCTGTAAGATTGATAAAGTAGATATATGTATATATTAGATATATTATAAAACAAAACCAGCTTTAGATGATTAATATGGTTTTGCAGAGATGGAAACAAGTCAGTCCGATGATGCAAGGTTTGGGATTTGTGGAGGATGCGCTCAAATTTTCAAATTAAGCTTTCTCAATTGATTAAATTAAATTTGCTATCGTTGCTAAATCAAGTAGCATCCAAAAATCTTTCTTCTTCTTGTGTACAGCACCCTGCAAATGATTGGGATCTGTTTAGTGATAAATATTTCTAATTCCTTAGCAATGTACGCTGCTTACAGGTACCTATAGGTGTTTCTCAACTTTATCCATGATTTTCATAGATTTATTTAACATAAACTTTTTAATTGTAATAAATTCTTATTTTTACCCATAATTATGAATTCAAGATGAATAAGCAAATGTTTTAGTTAATTTATTACTTTTAAGGAATACTCTACCTATAACATGTTAATTTTTAGACGCAATTATATTTGCGTTTAAAAATTAATAATTTCAAATTAAGCTGTGTGTAATTTGAAATTATGTTCAAAATGTTTAAGAAATAACGAGAAAGTGGCTTGTCGTCATCCAATTTTTATTGTCATAATTTTGTTTTATTCATTCATAATTTAAGTAACGCTTATCGAAAAGGAACCAAGCGCCAAACAGTTTTTCTGGGCTTTGTAAAATTAGGTATTTGTAAAATAACTAATTTTTAATATTGCTCAAAAGGTTGATCTTTATTTGAAAATTTTCTCAAAAGGATTGAGAGGGTTCCCAAATCATTATTAATTTTTTTGAGCAGAATTAAAAAATAGTTATTTTGTTTAGCCCAGAAAAAGTTTTTGGCGCTTGGTTCCTTTTCGATAAACGCTCCAGTTATAAAATAATAATATTAATTCTGAATTTGCTTTACATGCCTAAATGCTACATATGAGAGTTAGTTTAATACGAAAATCAATGATCAGACATTCATATAAAATCTCTCTTATGACAAATATTTTATTTTTATAAACAGTGAAATCTGAATTTTATGTACTTGCTTCTCTTTCCTTGTATTATATTGGTACAGCGTCTACCAAAGTTTTTATTGACGTTTGCAGAGAAAACAACCATTTTGTTAAACGTGGAATTTCTCCGAGTTGAATGAAGGGATTCTGCCGCTGTCCCGGATCAATACCAACCAAGCAACTTTGGCCCCTACCGTTTCGTGGTCGATTTACTAATTAAGATATAAAATTCAACCCGAACAAGTTAATTGAGATTTTTGGAAAACAACTTAATTTAGTTTTTTAACTAACTACCTAAATAAAATGACAAAGACATTTTGGCTAAACATTTTAATTACCTACAAAATTTTATCGAAAGTTTGTCAAATAGAATAAATTCGAATCAAATAGGTAATTTAAACTATTTGAACCCTACGTTTTTGTTCTTTTAATTTTTTTTCATATCCTTTAAATGAAAAATATTTCACCCAAGAATTAGTAATTATGTCAGTTTCTTTAACTTGGCTTAATTTAAACAAAAACTACTGGAAATAGTTGTTTACACAGTAAAAAAAGCTTCACACTAGGCTTGAGAACACTAGTTATAGCTTGAGCAGGTCCACTTTATTAGAGTTCAAATTTTCACCTTAAATTTAGTGTGAACTTTAGTGTTGTTTTAACTCTAAAAAATTAATGTACGCCTGAAAAAATATATATAATGGAGGTTTTCAATGATTCTGCTCTTATTAATTTTTTATTTATTTTTAATTACATGAATTATTTTTGGGTAGTGCTGCTGGGATGTTTAAGTAATGTTTATATAAAACAAATAAAATTTATATTTATATAAAAATACAGTCCATTGTAAGTTTTACGCTACAAAATATAAAACTAATCTTTCACAATTACTTAAAAAATACTTTCAAAACACCAAATAATATTTTGGCACAAAGTACCAATTAACACTGTCAGATTGGTGTAAATTGTATGGCTCTTTGTAAAGCAAGCTTAAAACCTCGAAGTTTTATACAGGTAACCAATTCTTACCCATTTTGTGACTAAAATTTCTATTGAATAGAGAACTTTTTCTACATAATTATTCAGTGCTAAAGTTTTCAACATTAAATGCAATCTGCTGGTTTTGGCTAAATTTTTTAAATTTTTATTAAACTTGGCATCATGGACATGTTTTAATCTCAGGAAAAACATCTAAAAATTTAAAAAAAAAACGATTTACTTACAATAAACTGAGCTATTGTAAGAACTGTACTTGAAATTTATCTGTACCATTGTACAAAACGAGATTTTCACGGGATTTTAGACCTTATGAACAGAAAATTTGTCGCCCTAGGCCAATAATAATGGCGCCTATAAATACAGCCTATATTAGTACCTATCGTATTAACCTATAACACAATACATGTTAGCCGACAGGGGTGCACATAAGGGGCCAAGTAGGGTT